TGTCCAGCGGAGGGGGTGACGTGCTACGCAGACCAGAGGTGGTCACTCAACACCCTCGGGGGGCTGCGATATGTGAAAGAGTCGCCGCTTTCGTGGGCTCATGGGGAGTCCAGCGAGATGACGTCGCACGCAGATAAGGTGGTAGCTCGCCGTCTGGGGGGGGAACGGGATGCGATCTGCGACACCGTCGCCACTCATTGGGCTCTTTCAGGGGTCCAGCGTGGTGGCGCCCGACGCAGATCAGATGGTAGCTCGCCGTGTCTGGGGGGGCGCGATTTGTGAACAAGCCCTCACTTCAGGTCAGAGGGCATCTCGCCATCCCTGGGGGGGTCCGAATTGCGAAAGTGTCGTCGTTAACGTGGGCTATTATGGAGGCCAGCGGAGGGACGTCCTACGCAGATCAGATGGTAGCTCGCCGTCCCGGGGGGCCCGCGAGCTGCGAAACCGTCGCCACTTTCATAGGCTCCTGAGGTGTACAGCGTACGCTGATCAGATGATCGCTCGCCCTCCTTTTTTTGGGGGGGGCGGGATTCGATATTCGAAGTCATCACACCTGTCATCGATTCCTGGGGGGGGGTCCGTCTGAGTGGTTTTTTCCCCAAAATCAGATCGTGGCTGGCCGTCCACGGTGGGCTGCGATCTGAGAAACCTTCGCATGTGTTGTGGGCTCCTGGAGGGAGATCCGTCGGGGCGAGGTCCTTCGCAGATCAGATGGAAGCTCGCCGTCCCTGGTGGGCCTCGATGTGTGAAACTTTGGCCACGGTCGTGGGCTCCTGGGGGTGGCCAGCGGGGTGGCGTCCGACGCAGATAAGATGGTAGCTCGCCGTGCCTTTGGGGCTGCAATTTGTGAACAAGTCGCCACGTTCGTGGACTCTCGGGTGGTGAACCTTAGTGGCGTCCGACGAAGAGAATGTAGTAGCCCGCCGTGTCTGAGCAGCAGCTTGCCAAACATCTCGTGTCCGAGCAGCAGCCTGGTGCGCCCCTTCCCGAGCCCCTGGCCGCAGCGAAGCCTGCCCCCTCGACCGTGACCACATCGTCCCGCCGACGCCGCTGTCGGAGCGCCCCAGTAGCCGCACCACCTCACGAAGAGAGCTGGGAGGCGAGACGCGTCCTCCTGCAAGTCCGACCTGCCATTCCGAGGAGGAGTGGCGCGCGCGGGGCCCGCTGGGTGATGCCCGACCTCTGTGGCCACGGCAGGGGGGCCAGGGCCGCCGCCCGCACAAAGGCGCCAGAGGGCCGCGGCGGTGAGAGAAGGAAAACTAGATCGGATGGCAATAATTATCCTGGACGCTTGGTATTGGGATAGACAGATAGCTTGGAGATCAAGTCATTTGATGATCCGTGGTATTTTGTTGTGGCTGCACATGTGTTGATTTTACCACCGCAGGACACATCTAACAAATTCGAAGAACCAGCACGGTCGGTGCCAAATCTACAGGCACATGTAATACCGTTGCCAAACATGCCGGCAAATCTATAGACGCATGTCGCATCCTTGCAGAAAGTATCAGCAAGAAGAGTGCGGGGAAATATTGAGGAATATTCAGCCTCTTTGGACCTCTTGGGGGACTCTTGGACAACTTGGGGTTGAAGGCTCGACTTGTCGGTTCGGGCTCCCCTTCTGGGGCTTCTCTTGGAGCGGTCTTGGGGCCCTCTTGGGCCTTCTTGGGCCCTCTCGGGCGCCTCTCGGGCTGTCTTGAGGCTTTCCTGTGGCGTCTCGTCGGGACCGTCTTGGGAGCCTCTCGGGCAGTCTTGGAGTCTGGGGGCGGTCTTGGGAGCCTCTTGGGCAATCTTAGATGCCCTGAAAGCCGAAAAGTCGTCCCCTCTTCCATCTCCGCAGCCTCGAGCATCACCCGCTTTTGGCCAACCTCGGGCGGGGATGGCTTGGACGGTCGTTGGAGGCGAGGGGAAGGTGGAAACCGTCGCAAAGTCTGAGGAGGGGCCGTGCCCCAGCCGCCGGTGGAGCTTGCTGGTAACAGACGTTTTGGGACAATGGGATCGGCGAGGCGAAACCAATCGACAACTGAGTCGCCAATCCTCCGGCTCTTCGCTGACGGATTGGCGACTCATGCGTCGATGGGTTTCCAAAAGCCACCCAGACGCGTAGGACAGGTTGCGCAACGCGTTGACACCTCAATCGATTAGTTGCGCAACGGGTCGACACCTCAATCGGCAGCTTGCGATTGATCCAATCGCGGTCGACAGGTTGTGCGACAGGGTTATTACCCTTCCAGGGAGCGCAGCTTGGAGCGGAAACAATTCGGGGAGCGTGACCGAGCATTCCGGGGAGCGTGACCGAGTATTCCGGGGAGAGCGGCGGTTCGGCGCTGAGAGTTGAGTGGCAATGCCATGGCATAGTGGCATAGAATCAGATAGCCGACCGTCGGCATTGATTTATGGATATTCCTCCTCCTCCTCCGCCCTCCTCCTCCTGTTTCCGAGGGGGCGACTTGTCGGCTTTCACGGCGCCGGGGAATGAGGTCTGAGGGGGGAGAGGAGGAGGGAAGAGGGACAATGGTGAGGAACACGAGGGCGAAGACGACAGCGAGGGCAGCGAGGATGCGGATGCGGAAAACAACGGGCAGAAGGAGAGGAGGATTATATGAATGATGGGCGTGGGTTCGGCAATGCGAAATTCGATCCACTCCGAAGGCGCATGCGTGAGACGATAAGTGATTCACCATCAAAAATTGCACCCTGATGCGAGCGACCAGGTTCGGAAGACAGCGTGTGTTGATCGATCTGCAATCAGAATCCTTGGGCGTGCATTCTACATTGCGGCTTGGCCAATACAAAAGGTTCGAAACACAGCGTGCTATGATCGATAGGCTATCAGGAACATGGGGCATGCATCCTGTTTTGCGCCCCGGCCAAATCAAACGGATTTTGAACCACATATTTTCACATGGAGCAGCCCGAGTTAACAGCATATGCAAATCTCAAAGATGGTTGGCCGGAGGTGTTGCCTTAGTGTTGACTAGGGTAATTTTTCGATCTGTAAGTCTTCCCATCCGATTGTTTCTCTGCTGGGTGATCCTGCGGCTCGAGGCTTCAGTTTTCTCCAATTTCCGGTCGGTCCACTGCTGTTTTTTTGCCATCGTGGGGCAAGGGGTAGTCATTTGGGGCGCTCCAGGGGGGGGCCTCACCTTCGAGGATCGAAGGAGTTGCACCTCTTCCCCGGCGGAAGCCAAGCGTAAGTCTAGAGGAGGGCGGCGAGAGTGAAGCATGCGACCGCAATAGATGGCAACATTTGTTTGTGTCTAGGGTTTCCGAAGCGGACCACTCAGGAACAGGAGTCGGGAGCGAGCAACCCCTTCCCGCAGGTCCGAGCCTCGTGCGATAGGCCAGCGCGAAGCCCTCGCCCCCCTGAGGTATCTTTTTGTTGTAATCGGAGGGCGAGGCAGCTCGCTCCGCGAGCGGCGGCCGTCGTCCTCGGCGGTGCCAGCGTGAGCGTGGCCGTGGACTGTGCCGGAGCCGCTCCGACGCCAGGCAAGGCAAGGCTGCCTTCGATCCGACCCGGGCCTCCAGCCTCGATCCCGACTCCGACCCGCTCCGTCCCGGCACGAAGCGAGCCCCTTGCCCGGCCTGCAGGGCCCGAGCCCGACCCGCCATCCTTGACAGGGCGATTCCCAGCCGACTCCGCGACGGATCCGGTGTGCTCCGATCCGGTTTCGATTATGCTCATGGGCGGTCTCAGAGGAGGCCGTTTCTGTTGAAATGCTTTAAATAAGTCAAAACCACATTTTGGGGCTTCTTTATGTTAAAAACTCAAAGTGTGTCAAAACCATACTTAGAAAAAATGGGCTCGGCGCTGCTTCGGTGAGCACAGTGTGCTCGGATCCGGTTTCGATCCGATCCAGGTTCGCGATTCGATCCAGCTCAGGCCCACCAGGTGAGCGACGCAGAACAACAAGTGGCACGTGTTCCATGGCTCTTGCACAAAATGGAAGGGGGAGGAGGAGGAGGTGGAGGGGGGAAGAGGGGGCAAGACATCGCCCCTCGGGGCCCAGCAACGGGGCCCAAATCCCAGGTGGGGAGGGGGGAGGGCAGGTGGTGTGCGTCGCGACGTGGAATTATGTGCTCGGAGCGGAGGGGGCACGGGGCGGAGGTCCCATTGGGGCGCTGGGGGCGCGGAGAGGAGGGGGGGGAGAGGTGGTGTGCGTCGCGACGCGGAACAAAGTGGTCGGGGCGGAGAGGGCACTGGGCGGGGCTTGGGGCAGAGGGCCACGGGGCGGGGGTCCAACTGGGGCGCTGGGGACGGGGGGGAGGGGGAGGTGGTGTGCGTCGCGATTCGGAATCAAATTGTCGGGGCGGAGGGGGCACGGGGCGGAGCACTCACCGGGGCGCTGGGGACGCGGGGAGGGAGGTGGGGGAGGTGGTGTGCGTCGCGACGCGGAATAGAGCGTTCGTGGCGGAGGGGGCAGTGGGCGGGGCTCCCGCTGGGGCGCTGGGGACCCGGGGGGCTCGGGGCAGAGAGCCACGGCGCACAGGGCGATTCCCATCCGATTCCGCGACGGATCATGTGTGCTCCGATCGGGTTTCGACCCGATCCAAATTCGCGATTCGATCCAGCTCAGGCCCACCAAGTGAGCGACGCACAACAACAGGTTCGCGGCATTCGCGCGCAAGTTGCCCCCGCAAGACCGAGCGCGAGCACTCTCGTACTCCACACAGTGTGCCGCGCTGGTGGCCTGCGTAACCCACCGCGTGAGGTCCCGATGCAATCTTGCATAAGGCCCGTTTTTTTCCGTCACTCAGATGCCTAGCACACCCCATGAAGACAGTTCAAACCGAGCGACGTGCCGTCCTTGCCCCGCCCCGGTGAAGGCCGAGGCGCCCCAGCCAGAGGCGTCGCGCGAGGCGGAGCAGTGGCGGCTGGAGTTCGAGCGCCTGCGTCAGGAGATCCTCCGCCTCGTCCCGGGTGGTCGTGGGTGGAAAACATGTCCGTATCCACGGCCTTACGGGCTGGGCGCCTGGGCCGACAACCCGTGGATGTGCGAGGCTCTTTTTCGGGGATGCCCCGCGCGGTACGTATCCGTGCGACCGCGTTTCCATGGGATCGCGACCCGGAATCCAGACCGCCAGGGCGTGCGTATGGATATGTTCGCCGCTCGTGAGGGGGGGTTCTGATCGTCGCAGAGGGTTTTTGGTATCGTCGTGGCGCTGGGGGCCCCCGCACAGGCGCCAGGGCGAGTGGCACGCCCAAGGTCCCTGCGTGAGCGAGCGGGTGTGGCCTCCCGCCCAGCATTGCGGACGCAGGTCCTTGGACGGCAGAGAGTAAGTAAGATAAGGAAGACATAGCGCATATATGGGTACCGTCTCCCTCCCTCTCCGTCGTTCTCTCTCTCTCTCTCTCTTTCTTGTTTGTTTGTTGTTCCTTGTTTGTTTTTCTTATTCGTTTGTTCTCTCTCTCTCTCTCTCTCTCTCGAGAGAGAGAGAGAGAGAGAGAGAGAGAAAGGGAGAAAGAGAGAGAGAGAGGGGGAGAGAGTCAGAGAGGGAGGCAGAGAGAGAGGGGTGGGTGAGGGGGGTGAAGAATGGTAGGAGGAGGGAGAGGGTAATTAGGAACAGGAGGGTGGAAGTGGGAGTATGCGCGAGGAGCAGGGAGGAGGCCTGCGACCCCTCACTCTCGGCCCCTCCCTCCCCTCTTCTCCCCTTTCGCCCTGCCTTTTCCCTTGTAGCGTGCCCACTCCGTGTTCTCCCCCTCCCCTCCACTCCCCCGACAACGTCCGTTCGAGCACCCCCCCCCACTCCCCCCGACAACGTCCGTTCGAGCACCCCCCCCTTGCCAGCATCGGCTTCCCTCACAGCATCTGTCATGTGCTCGTTATCTGCTTCTGTGAGTGCGATCGGGAGGGAGCGAGGGAGGGAGAGAGAGAGAGAGAGACTATATCAATGAAGCGGTGTTGATGCAATTAAAAATTAAGCGATGCTGCTGACAAGTGCCGCTCGTTTGTCTATGATAAACACGATATGCAGCTCGACTCAGTGCTGTTTGAGCTCTGCCTGCTGTCGCGACGGCTCGGAGGGAGTGATACGTATGGCGCGCGTGGGGCGTCCAGAACAGCTAAACTGCTTACGAAGCGGGGATGCTACTGCGGAGGCTTGCGACAATCCGCTGCGTATGCCCGAGGGCTTCGAGCTCTGTGGACGCGGGACGCCCACCCAGGGAGAAGTGCACGTGCCTGAAATCGCACACCCTCCACCCACAAACACGGAGGTCGACGGTTAAGCAGGCAGAGTGGTGGTTGAGTTGGTGGACGCTCAGACCCATTTCTCGCCAGCGAGCCACGCGGGACAGAATGTACGCACTCAAGGCCCGTGGGGTCGACGTCCACGTTGGAGCGGTACAAAAACGGTTTCAGGGCAAGGCCGATCGTCCTATTTCTTAAGGAAGGGAAGAGACGAGAGGAGAAGAGACGATAAGATATGATACTGTCAGAGAAGAGAAGAGGAGAGGAGGGAAGACATTATACTATAGTTTAATAAACTTTATCATCGTATTACATGTGAGAGGGGGATACATAAAGAGAGCGAGAGAGAGAGAGAGAGAAAGAGATACTTGCCTTACCTTCCTTGCAACGCCCTCTCTGGCGTACTCTAACTTGCAAGAGCACGGTCTTGGCTGCAAAGCGATCCTCACACGTGCCATCGCAATGTGTGGTAACGCATCCCGGTGAGTAGTCTGCGACCAGATGTTGATCCAACGCTGCGGAGGAAACACAAGTGCGTGTTGATGTGTTTGTGTGTGCGTGTGCGTTCCCCGTTGAGCGTCACCAGTCTTCCAGAATCAGATTCCAGTCGAGGCATTCGCAACATTTTAGGATCGGTGTTTTGGTTCACTTCTTCGGAATGGCGCTCTCCCGCAAGCGCGGACCACACCACTTCTGAACCGATTCCTTTCTTGTTGTTGCCGTCCCCATCCTATACCCACCTCCGGCTCTCTCTTCTTTAGAGTACAACAGGCCCCCCCCATCGTTGATCGCAGTTAAGCAAAGTGTCAAATCAGGTGGCTCCTACTTGAGGACCAAAGTTTTCCATGGGCCAACCCTTAGTGGGCCCTGGAAACAACAGGGCCGTTTTTGTTACCGGTTCCGTTTTGCAGTTTTCTTGCCGGTTCCGACGCCGTCTTTTTTGCCGGTTCCGTCGCCGTTTTTTGACCGGTTCGGGCCCCGGTTCCGATCTTGGAGCCGTTGTTTTGCCGTTTCCGGTCGCCGTTTTTTTTTTGCTTTTTTCATTTTCGAGGGACATTTTTTTTGGAAACGGTGACAAAGCGGCCCTGCCGTTGCCAGGGCCCACAGGGCCAACCCGCGCGGGGCGACATGGAAGAGGAGCCAGCCGCCACGAGAAGGGAGTATTATAGGCGGCCGCGGAGTGGCTCCCTGGCTGCCGGGAGTGGCTCCCTGCTGCTCCGGCCGCCACAGCCCCTCGGGGCCCAAAAAAAACGCTGGCCGCGCGCGGCCCCCCGCCCAGATCCCCGACGTCAGAAGCGTCGACCCCCGGAGGTCTCGACAGGTCCTCCGGGACCAGCTTTCCATCCCGAGTCCTGCTTTGACGGTCCCGAGGCCCAGTAAAAGGGCCCCAGAAGCCGAACATTTGAGGTAGAGCATCTCTATTCAGGAGTTTCCTCCCGAACGCTGGGCCCGCGTTTCTTAACCAGCTTGCCGGGAAGCTGGCCCAGCTTCTTCGAGCACGCTTGCCCCTCCAGCGTCAACAGCAGCGATTGGCCCAGGCTTGCTCCTAGAAGCTCCGCGAAGCTGACCTAGATTTCTGAATGGATGGTCTGCTCGATCATGTGTTCGGCTGTAGTGAAACATTGTCTGTTGAGCTTCTTCGTCCCATCACATCACTGAATATAGGTTGGGGTAGGACGGTGATTTGAGCCCCATACGCCCTATCTCCTGCGCGAGAGCAGGCGACGGAACATGGGTTCCGACGGCACGTAGGCCTGACGCGCTCAGCATCCGAGGCTGCCGCAGAGGTAGCAGATTCCCGCAGGCCGACTCTGCACGCCACAGGGCTGGAATCGCCCGAGCAGCAAGAGCGGCCCCATCATCCCTGTAGTGAATCAGGAGGGAAAGAAACACACAGACACAATTAATCGTCGACTCCCCAGAAAAGATGGGAAAATATGGGAAGTGGGGGGAAGACAGAGACCCAGAAAATATATGAAAATATGGGGGATCTTTTTATTTGTGTGTATTTATTTGTGTGTCCTGGGGCCCCTTCAGTGAAGACGACTGCCCGCTGCGAGTTTTGCACGACGCGAGGCGGCCTGGCAGGCGCGCGGGGCCCATGCGCCGCCGCCGGCCCGGCCGGGGCGCGTCGCCGGGGAGCGCCTTCGCGGCCTGCCTCCTCGGCGCGGCGGCGGCCGCCCCGCGGCCCGCGGGGGGCGCGGCGGGCCGCGGGCGCCCCGCGGTGGTGGGCGGCGCCGCGGTGGCGCTGCGCTACTTCCAGCTCGGCGCCAGGATCCGAGCCTGAGTGTTCTCTCGGGTAGGAGATCGGCGGCAGAATCGGTTTCTCCCAGGACAGACCGGTGCGTCGAATGTACACGAACATGTTGATCGTTCGCATGTTCACGAAGATTGTGAGCTCCTTTGACTCGTAGACTCAACGAAACATCCGCGAAACAAATGAATTCTGGGGTATGTCAGTCATGCCGTCGATCTCCTCGATCCTCGTGTGGCGATACTCGATCCTCGTGTGGCGACGAGACACATCGCGGCAGGAAGTTGTTATGTTGTTATTTTCGGTTCCCGCAGAGGGCCCTTTTCCGGTCCGTCCAGATGCGTCCCCGGATGATTTAAGCCGATTCAGGATGATGAGCCGGTTTAACTGCATGTGGCTCGAGGCTCTCACCGCGCCCCAGGCCCGCGTGTAGCCACAGCGGTCTGCGCGTCCACTTGGATAGTTCCCTGGTGGCGAGCTGAAGACTCGTGGCAGCGTCTCGTGCGATTTGACCGCATTGTCATCACATCGCAGGGAAGGCGTTCAGAGCTTGAGACAGCCACGTCGTGAAAGAACGCGACGTCGGACGTCGAGGGAGGCCGGGCCCTACACCTGCCAACGGCTTGGGGGACCCCTCCACCCCAAGGACCACAGGAGGAGGTGGATGCGGACAACACCTGGGCCCTAGCGGGCCCAACGATGTCCCTGTCGACCGCCACCTGGGGTCCCAGGACGTCGCTTCCCCAGGCAGTGGATGTGCATCAGTCCGCCTTCGCCAGGAGGCCGTTGAGCGTAGAGCCCCCCGCGGGCGACGGCGAGGCCTCCCACGACTCGGCCGAGCCAGAGTGCGCCTCGCAGCAGCAGTGGGAGACCTCGGAGCGCCAGGCGGGGGCCGTTTCGATCCGATCGATCCTATGCGATGTTGATTACGTCCGGTTCGATTCCGATGCTCGGCTGGTCCGATGCAGCCTGATGCTTGCGTCTCGCTGTTGTGCATCCTGACGCAGCCGGCTGATATGGTTTCGACCCCGTGCCGCTGCAGCCCAATTCGACGCACCATCCGACTTCCAGATTCCATTCGCCATGATGGTAGAGGGGCCCCGAAGAAAATGGATCCTGGACCCAAAAGCACTCCTCAAGGACAGCTCTTAATCCTTAGCTGCTTTTTGTTTGTCCCGGCGCCCAGAATCGGCGAAAAGCTCACAGGATCCGTTTCAGTCGGCAGGTAATGATGGGTTTTAGCGCAGATGGGATTCGTCCAGAGCGCCGGACGGATCCTGCAGTATCCTGCAAAGCCAGATTTTGGTTGATCCGAGCTTGCGAGCCGCTCGCGGCCTTGGAGGTTGACTAACATATTGGCTGAGCTGGGTTAAGGAAGCCCCCGAACAACTGAAGTGTTTCCCAAGCATCTTGTGATGGGTCTTCCTCTTTGTAGAGACAGCGCCCCGCGTCTCGTCTCATGCCGCCTCCCCCTCGTCCCATCCCTGCCACTGCCCTCGGCACACACTTCACACGTTTCGTGGCTCCACAGGGCGTTCCACCGCAGGCCCCAGTG